CCCCGGTTAGGCCAGTAAAATCCGACACAACAGCAACCAAAATAAAAACAATATTTTTTTGCAAAAGGCCTAGTTATGTGTGAAACTAGAGTCACCAAGAATCAAACAAAAGGAACAGGAGGTAAAAGCAGGGCTGGGGAGTAGTGCTGATTTTGGGATTACTCCTTGTCCTACTCTGGAGTAAGATCTTTTTTCTTAATGGTACTCCTACTCCTGTAAAATCCTCTTACTCCTTTACTCCTTACTTCTACTCCCCAGCCCTGGGTAAAAGATCTTCTATGACCTGCCACTGTCAGAAGTAATCTCAAGAGGGGAGCACATTAGCACATCTTTCTCAGACCATCCATCCATCCGAGTGCTCCTTGGTCTGGAATACATTTTAGTTTTGCGTAGGTACGAACTGCAATCTCACAATGGTTACTATGGGAACAAGCAAAATACCAAGCTGAATTCATAAACCGCTACTTGTTTAAACAGCTGTCCCTCATTTTCGATGTAATTCTAGGAAGCTACAGATTTAGAGCCTCCAATGTAGTCTTCACTGCGTAGGTTGGTGAGCAGCAGCAGAAGCAAATAACAAACAATGCAACTCAATACAATGGAGTGGTAATCTAAATTTTTGGTGAGTAGAGCAAAGGGGGGAGGATACATTACAGGAACTACATCTGTAATAAATGTAAAGGCAGATGAATAAAACACAGAGTTAAGAGATGATACAAGAAAACATTTTGTTTTCGTTAACTGCCATCAAGTTGACTTTGACTTATGGCGGCCGTGTGAATGAGAGACCTCCAAGTCATCCTATTACCAACAACCCTCTCAGCTCTTGCTGACTCGAGACCATAGTTTCCTTGATTGAGTTTATCCATCTATAGTGCGGTCTTTCTCTTCTCCCACTGTCTTCTAATTTGCCAAGCATTTTTATCCCTTCCAGTGAGTCATGTCTTCTCATGATATGGCTAGAATATGACAGTCTCAGTTTAGTCATCTGGCTTCTAGGGAGAGTTCATGTTTTTGTGCTAGAATTCATTTATTTCTTTTTTTAGCATTCCACAATATATGTAGAACTGTCCTCCAGTACCACATCTCAAATGAGTTTGTTTTCTTCCTATCCATTTTCTTCACCGTCCAGCTCTCAAATCTGTACATAGAAATGGGAAATACAGGGCCTTTACAGACTGCCAGAAATAATGCAAATTGAGTCCACTTTAACTGTCCTGGCTCAGTGTTAGGGAATCATGGGAACTGTACTTTTTTCTGAGACATTGAGCCTTCTCTGCCAGAGAGCTCTGGTGCCACAATAAACTACAGTTCCCATGATTTCATAGCACTGAGCCAGGACTGTTAAAGTGGCTTCAATTTGCACTATTTCTGGCAGTCTGTAAAGGCCCACAATGGCATGGATGAACCTAACTTTAGCATTCAATGACTTATCTTTATACTTCAAGATCTTGTCTAGTTCCTTCGTAGATGCCTTTCCAAGTCCTAGTCTTCTTCTGATTTCTTGACTGCAGTCTCCATTCTGATTAATAACTGAGCCAAGGTATGGAAAACCTCCAACTCTAATCCTGCTTTATGTATGATATGTTCAGTGTACAGGTTAAACAAATAGGATGTTCTTGTTCTTATCTAATTCCTTCTAGCTGCTGTTCCAAGTCCTGTTCTTCTTATTTCATGAGTACAGTATCTGTTTTGAGCCAAGGTACAGAAAATCTTTTAACTATTTCAATGTTCATCATCCACTCTGAAATTATGTAAAACATCTGTGTGGTTGTTGGGTTGTTGTTTTTGCTTTTGTTTTCTTAATTTCAACTGTAACCCTGTCTTTGCACTTTTTCCTCTTGATCTTCCTCAACAGTTATCTTTGATATTTTCTGGTAGGAGTATGGTTTCATCTGCATATATTTAATTGCTGATGTTCTTTTCAACAATATTCATGTCTCCCACCTCTGAATCTAATCCAGTTTCCCATACAATATATTCAGTACATAAATTAAACAAATATGGTGAAAAAATGCAGCCTTGCCTATCCCCTTTGTCAGTAGAAAGTTTTCCTGTTTCTCCATATTTTGTCTTAACAGTGGCCTCTTGTCCAGAATATTAGTTATATATCAAGACAATCAAATGTTATGGCACACTCATTTTTTTTCAGTGATCTACAGCTTTCCTGGTCTACTCTACATACACAGTTAAAAGCTTCGCTTTGCTCTCTAAAGCTCTGGATGGTTTTCTTCTGAAATTCTTTGCTGTGCTCCATTTTCCAACACATGTTTCCACTACCATCCTTAATGCCCCTTCCTTTTCTGAAACCAGTTTGGATTTCTGGCATGTCTTGCTCCCTATATCAAAATCCTGAGCATCACTTTGCTTTCATATGACATTAACACAATGATCTAATTCAGGGGTTGGCAAGCTACAGCCCACGGGCGGCCCGCGGAGGCCTTGGGACCGGCCCATGGCCGGTCCCGCTGCCGCCCCTCATGCACCGACGCCATTTTTGCATCCAAAATGGCACCCACGCACGCAAGTGCGGGTGCCATTTTGGACGCAAAAATTAATCCCACACTCATGCACGCAGGCACCCGCAAGCGCGGGCGCTATTTTGGAAGGCCTCAAGGTGGCTGCGCCATGCAAATTTGGGCCTTGCGAACACCCCCCCCACACACACAAACATTATTATTGATATTAGCAGCTCATGTTCTGTGCCACAATGTGTTCCTGGTCTTATTTTAGCAGAGAGAATGGAGCATCTCCATTTTCTGCTTCGAGTTATTCGGTAACTTTTGTTCAGCACATCACACAATATCCATATTTACAGTCATTTCTTTGGTGGTCTGAAGAATGTAATGAACAAGCTCTCATTTTCTTCCTCTTCTGCCACTGTAGTTGGGAGCATAAACTTGGATTATGGTTATACTGATGTGTTTTCCCTGAAGTCTCATTGATATTATTCAACCAGACCTGTCATTATCTCTCTTGACTGCGTTTGCTACATCTCTCCTTTCTATTAATGCCATCCCATTTCTTTTTAGATATTCATTTCCTGAGTAAAACTCTGTGCAATTATTTGACTCAAAATTTCCCATTCCTGTCCACTTTAGCTCAAGTTTATAAGTTCCATTTCTTGTTTTACAATGTTTAGTTTCCCAATTCATGCTTCTTATATTCCATGTTTCAATTATAAGTGTTGTGCAGCTTAGGATTTTCTGAAGTCATGGGTTTATGTAGAATAAAGCTCAAATCTGGTGTACTTTCACAGTGGTTTGGGCAGTTAAGGGCCATTTTTTAAAAAATTGAGGACGGTCCCAAGGCTACTGGGGAGAAGCGTGGCATAGTGCTTTGAATGTGAGACT